CTGGCGTTGCTTGCGGGGTGTATGTTCAAAGAAAGCACGAAGAGGCATTGGACGGACAGACATTACGTGGTTTTTCATTTTTTCTGCTAGCGTCTGTCGGCATGTGCGTACGGGCAGCTCTTGATGATGCTTGAGACTTGCTACTGCTTCGAGTGGGGTCCAAATTTCGTCGATGCTCCCAGACTTCGCGTGGTACTTAAGGTTGGGGTTAGGAATAGCCAGAAGCGAGGGGAAAATGAAGAAAGCACGAAGGACACAATCTGTACGGCCGACGCGCGGGAGACGATGGAAACGCATGAGTGTGAAGAATAATCTGCTTTCCAACAAGGGTGGGCAGCTAGCTCCACTACCTGCAGAGGTGGATGTACGTTCTACGAGAACCCGTTCTACACGCTAAACACGGCAGCACAAACACCGCCAACCGCATATCTCTGGAACTGATCAATTTGAGGTTTGCACGTGCTCATTCTTTACGCGCGGGAATGAGCACGCCGTTCTGACTATTCGCAGCTCGTGGCCTGGTTGTGCCGTCGTGTTGGTTGAACGCATCTCTCGCCAACTAGCTTCTTTCGGACCATATCTCTGCATGAGCTCGCATGGGTGATCACTTTTGCAGGCGGTTTAGCGTGCTGGTAGCATAAACGAACGCCCTTTCTACGACAACCTGCACCTCTTGCCGTGCTCCCTCGTGTCCGGCGCCAGTGATTCGCACATCCACACCCCACTACGCCTTTTTTCGTTGCTTAGTCTACCCTGCTAGATTTGCGCCGGACGTATAGTCAGCTGGTTAGTTCGTGCTCAGTACGAAACAAAGAATCCCCAACCACAAATGTGTGAAAAGGATTATGTTGTTTACTTCGACCCATCACATTTTTCATACAACAGTTCGCAGAAAATTAACGTGAGTAGACCCTCAGGGGGCGAGGGAGTCTAGAGGTCCAGAACGATTCTCAATGACGACTGTGGCGAAGGTTGTGATGGAGCATATCGACATCGCACAGGAAGTAGACGAGTCATCTGCAGGGGGATGGTGGTAGATTTCGCAGGACACATACTGCGTTGTGGTGTAGTGCCGTCCCCATTTCAACGTACTCTGAACGCGGAGATGCCGTTCAGTCTCCTCCGTCGCTCTTGTAGGGGGGAGCCCGTGGCATAAAATATTTTTTTTCGCGTGTTTCTCCCGCCTCTATGCATGTGACTAACGTCGGTACTTCGGCCAGCCAGTTGACGCGATCGATGGAACAGGTACTAAACGCACGCAAATCCGCTCTCGTACATGACAGATGGCTCAAAGCCCACAGCAGCACAGTGCCTCGAGCTTGCTTGTGCCTACATCGCTTGCTTCGTTGCTGGGGGCGGACGACGATGAAGACGACAACCAAGATGAGCATGAAGACCATGCAAAAGCAGAAAAGGAAGGGGGGCAAGAGATACCGCTCGCAACTCCAAGTGCAGAAGGAGCACTCGCAGGCAGTCTCTGTGGCGGCAGCGGTGGTGGCAATCCTGGCGCTCCTGCCCCAGACGCCGATTCCTCGTGGCTGCCAGATTTGCCAGAGGCGGCGCTTCTCCCTCCACCTCCTGAGCGGATTGCATCCCCCGAGGTCTCGCCACGTCACCAAGTACAGCAGCCACCACAACGGCGGCGTCAACGGCGAGAACCGCGACAGAAGCAGCAGCAGCAGCAGCAGCAGCGACAACGACAACAACAACAACAACAACAACAACAACAACAACAACAACAACAACAACAACAACGACAGCAGCAGCAGCAGCAGCAGCGGCAGCAACAACACCAACACCAACACCAACAGCAGCAACAACAGCAACAACGGCCACAACAGCAACAGCGGTCACAACAGCATCATCGTCGTTGTCAGCAACAGCAGCAGCAACAGCAGAAGCAACAACGGCAGAAGCAACAGCAGCAGCAACAAAAACAGCAGCAGCAGCAGCAGCAGCAGCAGCAGCAGAAGCAGCAGCAGCAGCAGCAGCATCAACAGCCGCAGCAGGCCCAAGGCGGTTCCTCGCGTGCCCGAACGCCACCGCGGTACTCCGTGCCCATGCCAGAGTCAATGCCATACGTTGTCCCCCCAGCGACCGCCGCCTCTGCTTCCCGCGCGGGGTTTCCCCCCGCCATGCCGATGATGTTTCAGCACCACCATCCTTTTCATCACCACTTTCCTTTGTTCCCATATCAGCAGCACTGGTTCCAGCAGGTGCAACACTGTGACCCCCAATGGTACCCGCAGGGAAACCTGAACGTGCAGCCCCACCCTCAGTACCAGCCCGCTGCGGCGCTTGGCGTAGCCGGTGCGAGCGGACGCTCAGCCGGGAGTGTAGCGGCGGCTTTATCGGGGTCTCCGGCGGCGCAGGGCGGGGTGGTTCACGACGGGCAGGGACTGCGAAACCCTCCGCCGATATGGCCAGCTCCGCAGCAGGGTGGCGAAGGCCGGGCACCCGCTAGCGTCATAGCGACCACCGGTGCAACCTTGCCCTCGACGGCAGCTCTGACGGCGGCTCCAGCGGCGCAGGGGTCGGTGGCTCAAAGTGGAGAGGAACAGCGGCGCCCGCCACCAATAACGTCAGCGCACGGGGTTGTGATTCGAAGTGTAGCAGAACAACGGCACCCTCCGCCATCAGCGCCAGCTCCGCATCAGGGTGGTGCAGGACCAATGCCCTTGAACACGGCATCAGCCGGATGTGCCGCTGGAAGCTCAACTGCGAGTGTAGCGGCGGCTTCGGCAGCGCCGGGCAGGGTTGCTCAACACAAACAACAAGAGGAAAATCGTCCGCAGCAAGCGCTAGCTCCACAGAAGGGCGGTGGAGGACCGATACCCGCAAACATGGCGGCTGCGACTGCGGCGACAACTGCAGCACCCGCTTCGCCGGATGGGCCCGCATGGAAGCGAGCTAGAGTGCACTGGTCCTCACAACAGCCGGGCACGTCCTCTGCTGCTACTGCTGCGCCCTCGACCGTTCCAAATAGGGTTTCACGACAGCCAGTTCCAGACGCACCCGAACGTACCTTGAGCGAACGGGGCTGCTGGATGACAGGATCGACGGCGATGGCAAGGGCGATGGGAGGTGCGATTGCCACTCCTTCGACTTTGGCGGGAACAATAACTCCGTCATCGTTGGGTTCCATGACCACGACGAAAACGCCAACAATGACGTTTTCACGCGGCAAAGAGCAGCAGGTAGTGTCAGGCTTCGACGTGAGCAGAAGGGCGCACTCCCTGCATACCCCGGCAGCGTCCGTGCCCGTCGGTACTACCCCCACTTGTGACGTAGCCGTCGCTACTTTCGATCGCCCAGCTTCCTCTGCCGCCGCCTCCGCGTTCGGCGGTGTTGGAGCCCGGCCACCAGAGCGCAGTTTCGCGACGTCGGATAGGGCAAGAGGGGCAGGACTGGTGGGCGCAGTTGCCGGTGGGTTGCATGTGCTCCCCATGCCGTCTTGGGACGGCGGGTCGACTCAAACCGAGCAGGAGAGCATCAGGGCACTATCATCGGCGCAGGCGGTGAAGGAACCATCGGGTGGAATGCCGTTGCCTCCTGAGAAGCCCGCGAAGGGCTACGGCGGCGTGGACAGCGGCAACAAGCAAACAATCCAAACCGCCGCTTCTTCTTCTCTTCGTCCTCTTCTCCCTCCGCCGACGTCGTGTCATGGTGCAGGCTCGAAGGAAGGAGGGCCCCACAAGAGAGCTGCGGCGTCGGCGGTGGCCCCGTTGTTGTTTTCGTCATTGTCGCCACAACGACAGCGATGTTCTCCGGCATTGGAGGCGAGAGGAAACGGCGGCGCGGCGTCGGCAGCGGACGCCGTTGCTGCTGCCACCGACGCTCTCTCGCGCTCGCCCCGGCAGCCGAGATGCCTGGAAGAGGACGGCGTTGCTCCCGCCCCGTGCAGCCGTAGGGAAGGCAGAGATCGCACCTTCTCTGCTTCGGGGTGCGGCGGGGCTACCTTTCGGCTGTCTCCTGCAACAAGCCCGCAACCTCCAGATTTCTAGCGTCAAGACTACCAGAAATGTTGTGATTGTTGACACAACGGGGGGGTTGCCGCAATAATCCATCGCAGCTTCCTGTTGCATCAGATACTTGTGTGCAGATGTGTTTTGGCTCTTGTTCGTACTCGAAGCGCAGTCCGAGCCATCGCTCCTGCAACTGTACTTGCATATGTGTGCGCATAGCTGCGCCTGAAATATGGCAGCAGATGTGCTCCTATGTTGAAGAAGATATAATATGGTGCAGGATATTTGTGTACAGACATCCTTCCTGTCATTTTCTTCCGATGAATGAGCAGAGCCGGGGAGTTTGCGGCGACAAAGCAAGGTGTGAAGCTCGACGAGAGGCTGGGTTTCTTGCAGGATCAACGCCGTTTACCGGTAGAGAAGACGGAGTTGCGGGATATCGTGTGACGGTTTGATAGATTTTTAACATTTACTCTGGTATTTGCTGTCCCTTCGTGTGCTTCGGGCAATAATCAGTGGGTCGGTCGTGTTTTGGGCACCTGCCAGCTAATGGGCTGGAGCTCTGAATGGCAGGGCGTTTGTAGTAAACGAGCGTTCGGCGAAATTGCAATAGAAACGAACAATCGAGGGAAATGGCGACACGCATAGGCGAGAAACTTGCTTTTGCGACCTCCTCACTTTGACGAGTCGGCGCTGTGTTCACCTCTCCTGCCAAGATTTTGTCGCGAAAACACGGCAGTCACGACAAAGGCGAAAACGGCGGCGAGATCGAATTGAAGATCGGCTTGAATTGACTGAAACACGTCACCCGTGTTGCGTGTGATGTAATTCTACACCGGATCATTCGGTACGTATAGACGCACCAACCGAAGTCACACAGGAGGGCGAGGACACACAGGACCCCGCGCTTTTTCAGCAGCACTTCCTCAACTGGCATCGCATCTTGTACATCTACGAATAATGAAGTCGTTCTCCACATATTTTGAGCACCACGTACAATAAAATCCCAGACAACTGATTTCGCCGAGACATGCTGTCCAAACGTCCGATGGTTGGGGGGTTACCAACCGAAGAACATGGCGAGCGGTCATGACGCACCATCGTTCAATGACTAATAGCAGTTTTGCGCCAGGGTCTGATATTTTCAGAGGTTTTTCAAAGCAATTACCCTCGCTGTCGGCGTTCAAAACGGCACGAGAATTGTCACGACCCCCACCGTCGTGTGCATCATATTCCTCAAGAGAACAACATCAACAGTCACACGGGCTGCCTTTCTCACGCATACCCCTGCATACCTGACCAAAGTGCCAACAGACACCGTTGGTATTGCCTACGGGCCTTACATCCATCCAAAATATTCGTGTTTTCCTAACACACCTTACAACATGTGGGAAACACAGCCAAAGGCAACTGCTGCTTAAACTATGTTTCCCACCGGCATAACAGCACTGAAGAGAACAACAACAACCACCATACGCGTTGCGCGTCTTTTCTCATACCCCTAAAGCAACTATGATAACCGTCACCGATAATACTGCCACAAGGGTCGTAACATCCATCTAAAATACGATTAAGCTGAACTTTTTTCCTAGGACACGTGCGTACATATCTAGGACACAGCGACGACGTTATCGTCGTACAATTGTCCATCGTAGTGGGATTGAACTGGTCGACAAACCCAAACAAGTCCACCCCAACAAGCAACTCGAACGATATTCCACCAAGTTGCCCTTTGTCACCCGGGCGCTGACATCTGTCTTGATCAAAAGTCAAATCTACTTGGAGAATATAAATCAATTCCGCGCAGATTCACATATTATTCTGTCGCCAACACACGAAAGGAGAAAATAACATGGAAGACTGGAATTATATCAACGCGGGCAAAGCTGTACTCTGCAATGGCCAAACCAGAAAAAAAAATGCCCCGTAGGGCCGGCGGCCGCGCACAACCTCTCACCACCGGATTGCAACCATGAACAACAGAGGCCAATCAAAAAACCGCCTGCGAGCAACACATGGCCGTACGATCCTCCGGTCACACACGTGTGGCGGGAGGGCTCCACACTTGGCGCTCAGTCGGGGCAAAACACAAACAAAGCCGATTCACTCGAGAGGCCTCGAAACACCACAAATGCTTTTACAATCGTTCACCAGTTTGAAACGTCACCGTACAATCCTGAGCAACTCCAGGACAAGCACTGCGTACGTGCGTCGTCGACAGCTATCCACACATCAAACGACTTTGCATACACCTTTTACCGTCTCTCGTTGCACTCGCCGTCTGCACAGGGCCAGACAGAAGCATACAATGGAGCAATCGACATGAAAAAAATGTAAGTATAAAATCCGTATACCTCAACAACGACACGAATTTTCGTATTGTAAAAAAACGTAAACGTCTGCTCGTTCCCGCCCATGGTTGCAGCCATGTCAGCCCGTGCGCGTTACGTATATAAACGCGTGATTCTCTCAGCAGCGTGGGTTCCATCGTAATTAATTTGTTCATTAAGTCGTGCGACACGCCTGAGGCTCTTGTGTGAACGCAAACGGAGATGCCCCTCCCATTTAAAGTGGGTCCACACGAACACCCGTCGTCCCCACGATCGTTGCCGAAACCACACACCACCGCCGAAGGACACGGCAACTGTGTTGTTCTTTCTGGTGACGCCGAAGCCAACTGGCGCATCTACCATGGTTCTGGGATGCACGCTGACACAGCACATTCAACGAGCCGACACCGAAGCGAGTTATCGACGACACTTCAATAAACCCCGCGATGGAAGGACGATAACGACACGGCGGAGAAAATACGACAACATCCTGTAAGCAGCTTGCACCAGACGGAAGCACGCTTTTTCCGCCCAGCACTCCACCCACGCCCACCCGAACATAGACCTCAACCGACGGGGGCCCCGAACCCCCCCTCCACTTGCTACATACAACCTAGGCAGAACAGAATCTCCCGATACAAGCCAAGCTAGGCTCCAGCCTCAAGGGGCTGGGGGGGAGAAAAACAAAGCCTAGCGCCACGCGAGGAGATACACCACAAGACCGAAACCGGACCCCCTAATCTGCCACGGGGGAGGGCATCCCCGGCCCCACCCACCGCGACAGACGAGACGAGTCGGGAAGTCACACTCGAATCGATAGATGGATCAGTCGAGGGTCCAACCTGATGCCATCCCGGCAACCGTTTCCCGGGCATGCCGCCACATCTCCAGCTTGCAGTCGCGGGCCTCTAGTTCCATCTGTTGCACGACCCGGAAAAAAACAAGAAAGTGTCAGAGTGCGTGCGGTAGTACACAAACGCGACCGCCCGTGCGCCAAAAACAAATTGCCGGAAACGAGTGAAACCACAAGTCGACAGAGTCACAGAACAGAGGGTCAAGATCGGAGATCACATGGAACCAGTTTGTGAGGCTGGTTTGGTGCTTTTTTTCCACGTTGCAGCACAAGCACTGTTGTTCGAGCGACTGTTGTACGAGCGTCTGGCGGCAGTTGGGCGACGCCTCTGAACAATGTCTTTCGATGCGTTTCCTTGGAAGCACTCATGAGTCCAGGACGTCCGCTGCAAATGAAAGGGCTCAAACTACATCCATCTCTGGAAACGTACGAGCAAGGGCTGTGCCTACAGAATGACGATCTTGTTTGCCATTGAGAACCCGGCGGAGTAGCACCCCGGCCGTTGACTACGCTAGTAGATGTCGGCTTCCGAAAATGCGCTGGCGCTCGAACGTAACAACCCGACTGATCCACATCACAAGCAGCAGCAGCACGACAAGCACCACCAACAACATCCCAACCACGACCACCAGCAACATCACCACTATCACCAGTATCCCCACCACCGCTACTCCTACCACCATCGCCACCATCGCCACCTCCACCGCACACCAATCGCCCCCGATCACGCACCTCGTCGTACTCTTCCGTCGTCAAGTCGTAGGCGGTCTGGAGGTTGAGGCACAGGTCGTCATTAGCCACCTGCACAAACAAAACACAGCGAAAAAAAAGATTCACACACACACACACACACACACACACACCCACAAGCACAGCAGCAGCAGCAGCAGGGGGAGGGGGGGAGGGGCACGGGACAGAAGAGCCACGTGACAAGAGTAGAAGTCGGTTCGGAGCGCAGGACACGATTCTGTCTGATACTGATTGGCATAGGGAACGGCGCTCGACTCAGACAGGACTGCCTGTTGATGACGAACGACTGCGATCTTTCACCGGCTGTTTGGGACCCCGGGTTTCCCCGGCCATGAGCTGCTTGTGTGGAAATGGTTTCAGGTTGTGTGACCGGCGGGTACAAAGCAAACACTAGAAACAAAAAAAAAAATACTCACCATGCTGTGGACACGAGACTTCCTGAGGCACGGGTAGGCGTCGAGCAGCGTCGAAGAGATCACCAACGGTCTCTCGAGCAACAGAGCCGTGGGCACCTGCAGATCGCGGCGATGACAACAGCAGCAGCAGCAGAAGACGAAACCGTCACGCATCGCCTTGTACATTGGAAGGAGAAAGGAAAAACGCGGCCTACATTGTCTTCTTAAGAGGTTTGTTGGCTCTGGATGATTTTCGACTGTACCCCTACGTGACAGGGAGCCTTTTGTTGCGTGTCGGGTAAGCGAGAGACACGAAAGCACTAACAACATACCTTCGGCGACGTGCCTGAACATCGGGAGAACATAACGTGCGTGGGTTTGTCATGGCGTGACCGCATCCTCAGTCAGAAGAAAGAATCGCACAAGATGAAAAACTAAAAATTAAAATGACTCCGCTCGTGGCGGCGAGGAGCGTGACTTTTTTTGGTGGCGCAAGGATTAGGAACAACAACAACACAAGAGAAAACGATGAGAATATACAAGAAGCAGCCATCGAGTCAACGTCAGGCACACCGTGGATGTGGCCTTGTCGTACTCGTAATCGTGCCCCGCAGCCGCCGTCACCACGAAATGAGCCGCGCTGATGTTGGCGTAAAACTCCGGGTACCTGTTGGTTTTCCAAAAAAAAAAAAAAATCGTGCAAGTCGGGTCCCTCGGCAAGACCATGTTCGATTTCTCTCTCTGTGTACCCTGAGCAACTAAATCACGGGGATCATATTGTTTTCTAAAGTTGTGCCAAGGAGACCCAAGTAACGACCATGTCACCTGCACACCGATTCCCATTTATAAAGCGACGAATACCTCTCTCTCTCCCGATCGTTCAGTGCCGATGTTGCTAGTTCGATGGTCAAAAGGGACTGCCCGCGCCCACAACTTTAGCTTATCTATGAACTAGAGAGGCAGGGGTTACGTAAACCCCAACTCTAACCCCCCGGAATCCCACCGATTGCCTACTTTCTACAACACGTTTGCTTCATCAAAACCTGAGTAGGCGACTGTTTCCCATACGCATGCGGGAAACGTGAGCAATGTGTGTGGAGTCTTACTCGAGGTGTCGCCACTCCGTCGTCCGCTGTTCCACGCACTGCATTCTCCTGACGTCGTCGGGCAAGTCACCTCGCGCGCCCACGGCGACCAGCTGGTAGTTGTCCCTGCCTGAAAGATGTCGTTTCACCGTCATGTCATCACCATCGTGTGTCAAGGCGGCCGTGGGTAACGAAAAGGGAAGGAGGATTTTCGTCACTTCTTGTTGAGGTAAAAACAAAGCCGACAAGAGAAAACGCAGCAGTATCTATAGTACAGTATTGTCTAGTAAATTGTCAACGAATCAGAACGGCAAACCGGGAGAATCAATAGTGAACGGTTGTACGTCGTGGGGACACAGCTGCAGAAGACGAAAAGCCAACGAAAACAGCTACAGAAAAAAAAAAAACACAAGCGCACACACACACACGCACGTGCAAAACACAAACAACTAACTGGGTGAGAACGCCCACCGCGTGGTATACTGTACCGTCTCACACATTCACCTCTCTGCACATAGAACATCGTATTCTTTCACCCGACGTGAATCTTCTCGACGTATTGCTTCTCACCGATGCTATTTGCGATTCTAACAGCGATCCTATCAGCGAAGCTATCATGATGTGTTTCGTACCGGTGGAGCACATAGCCTCAAGGCAGCGCGTCAGTTCTGGGTAGTTCCGTCGATGGCTCTGCATGTTGCCCTGCCGTAAGACAATCGGTTGGCAGAAAGGGGCGGAGGGGATTGGCATCTTTCCCTCCATGGTTCTGCAACTTTCCTGCGGCAAGACAATCGATTGGCAAAAATGGGGGAAGCGATGGGACACGCAGCGGCTAGGCGGCATTTCCCCCCCCAAACCCACGATCATGACAGTCTTCACCACCTCCGAGAAATGCCACACGATATCCGAATCCTGGAGTTAGAAGCATAACCAGACGAGGGGACTCCGTTGTGCATCGCCATCAAGAGCGCGAGGGCGGCGTGGCGTGCAGAAAAGCTTGGCGGTCACGAAGGTAGCAGAAAAGCGAGGGTAGGATGTAGGGATCCGTCATTACAGTGGTATCTACAGATGCACACCTAGAAGCATTTCTCTGCGAACACCAAATGAGACCGTATCCAAGGAGAGTCTACTTTCGTCCGTACAGAGTGAGAGTAGGATCACCAAGGGGCAACACCGTGCGAAATACAACAACATCAACAACCCGACCACAACAAAAGAAAAATCGTAAACCAGGATGGCTGAACCCTTCTCGCGATAAAAATCAAGGCAAGCACCGCAGGGGGGAAGAAGGGGCGATAAAAAAACAAAAAAACGAGGGAAAACAAGGTCCTGTGTGACCTTCATCTTGTGTAACCCCGGCTGACACGTGAGGAATGTACGCCGAAAGGCCTGTGAACCAACTCCAGAATAGATGGGATGAACACACACCTACAACACCGAACACGTGAGGATGATGACCAGCTCCTGGTTATAATCCTTATGAAACGTAACCTGGGCCGGCGAAAAATAAACGGCATAGGTATCGTCCCGTACCTGCCGGCATTGTAGGTAGCGAGGTCAATATGGTCCAAAGATTGCGGCATGCGTTGTACGTGAGTAACCCTCCCCGGTTCGGTGGGAACAACGCTCCCTCCTCTCGAAGACGCGTGGTCAATGGTCAACCGCTACATAAGGCATGCATGAGAGTACGCCCCCCCCCCCTCGCCCCCCCGAACATCCATGCCTCCGTGCCCCCGTTCGCCGGGGCTCACCTGCACAACAAACACCACATCTTCTTCCCTTCCCGCGCTTTCCCCCCCGCCGCCGCCGCTGGCCTCCTCGTCCTCCTCCTCCTCCTCGTCCTCCTCCTCCTCCTCCTCCTCCTCCTCTCTTCCGCTGAGGTGTCGCCGCCACCGCTGCTGTTGGCCAGCGAACGGCCGCTTGGGGCGCGGCAGCCTGAGGTGCCCCGTGGGGTGTATGGGGTACACCACCCCCGGCCGGCGGAACAGTGCCCCGAACGTCGAATTCCCCCTCGCCATGTCGTCGAGGTACCCCGCCTCCTCCTCCTCCTGTTGAGCTCCTTTTTCTTCCGCTCCCTGGCCCTCCTCTGTTGCTGCTTCGGCGTCGGAGGAGGAGGAACTGCCGTGGGGGTGGGGGGGGTGGTCGACGTCCCATCCCCACCCCTCGTACGCCTCCTCCGACCAGCGTTCCCACCTTGATAGATGGGTAGATACGATGGTTGGTTGTTGCTGCTGCTGCTGTTGTTGTTGTTGTTGTTGTTGTTGTTGTTGTTGTTGTTATTGTCGTTGTTGATGATGATGATGCACTTGCTGTTGTAGTTGTTGTCGTCATAACTCTCCCTACTGCTGTTGATAACAAATTCTATCCCCACATCATTTTATCCCCAAAACGACCGAGACCCATCTATTGGCTACCCTCCAGAGGAGCTCCTATCATACCTCACGATCCCAGAAAAACGAAAAGAAGAGGGAGGTGCCACAGCTACCGGGACAACAAGCCAACACGAAACGGTACAGGTGCCGACAAGAAGCACGAGGCTGAAAAGAAACAGCAAACCAAAGGCGCACGTACAGTATGCCGGCCGGGGTACCGTGTACTACGGCAAGGTGCAAGTTGTCTACTACCGTAAGGTGTAGGCTATCTACTGCCGTAAGGTGTAGGCGATCTACAAGCGCCATTAATGGGACGAAACCACACACACACACGAACAACTACTAGAAGGCTTGTTATTATCCCGCTCTGTCGTAAGAGACGGACGTCTTTTGTATTGGTCAGTCGGTTATATAGCCGCGAGACCGATGTCAACAAAACACACACACACACACACACGAGCCGAACACACACGGCTCAACTGTTCCACGTGCTCCCCGTAGAGAGTGAGGAAGGTGAGGGGGGGGGGCCTGCCGCCGCCTCCCCTCTCCGCAGACGACGGAACCCCCCTCGCGAAGTCGTCCACGGCGGGGGGCATCCTGTGGTCGGAGCGGAAGGCCCCCTCCACGCTGTGCACGTTCCAGATGGAGACCTTTGGTGGGGTGGTAAGGCACGGTAAGGTGTTTAGAGAAAAGGCGACGATGTGACGGGTGTGAACGCCGTGCGGGTGGTGTTGGGGTGTGTGTGCTCGTGAAAACGCGCGTCAAACAAGGAGTGCCGAATGCAACGATACGATGGTGTGCAAGGCAAACCGACTGTCGGAACGACGGCTACACGAGTATCGCAGGTTCCCGCTCGATGCCCACGGTCTACCAGTTGGTCAAAAAAAAAAAAGGCTGCCTTTGTCCTCCTTCCTGTTGTCCTTTCGTGAATCGCTAAAACGCCGTCTTCGTTTGTCAAACATTAACATAACATGCCGCCATGGAGGACCCATTCCTTTTCTTCTTCGAGGCCCCTCAAAAACTCACGTCGACGTCCCACAGCAAGGCGTCCGCGAGCCTTGGGTCCACCGGGTACGTTGCCTTGAGGAGGTGGTTCACGTCGTTCACCGCGGTGCACAGCACCGACAGATCGAACGGCCCTCCCCGACCCCGACCTCCCCCCCTTCCTTCTCCACCCTCGACCTGCCTCCCGTCGCCCCCCGCCGCCGCCGACACCCTGCCGCTGAGCTCGGCACCGCCCAACCCCCTGCTGCCGTGCCTCTTGTCTGCGTCGCCCCCGTCCCGCTGCCCCGCACAACCCCTGCCGTCCAATACGCGCGGGCCGCCGCCGTCTTCGCTACCGGTCCGCTCTCTCCTTCTCCCCGTCCCCAGGACGTCTTCCCCCGCGCTCCTTTCGTCATCCTCCTTCCGCCGCAACCGCCGCAGCCGCAACTCCTCATGGCCGAGCCCTCGTGAGTTACCTCCGCCCCCTGCGGCAGCCGCAGCACGGGACCCCTCCCGATCCGACCCCTCCTGAACTCCGACGTCTAACGCGCCGAAACCATCATCGCCATCACCGCCCAAGGCAGCCCCCCCTCGCCCCCCCCCCCCCCCCCCCCCCCCCCCCCCCCCCCCCCCCCCCCCCCCCCCCCCCCCCCCCCCCCCCCCCCCCCCCCCCCCCCCCCCCCCCCCCCCCNTGTCCCTCCCGCCCGGTCGGGTGTCCCCCTTCCTCTCCCCCGACCTGCTGCTCATCCCGCCCTTCACGCGAGCCTCCTTCTAACGAGAAGCCCGCTGTTGCCCTCCTTCTTCTCGTCGCTCCTCCGTCTGCCGCGTCACGCCCCGACTCTCCCTGCTGCTGCTGCTGCTGCTGCTGCTGCTGCTGCTGCTGCTGCTGTCCCAGCTCCTGCTGCTTACGCAGCTCCTCTTCCTCCTTCCGGAGGCGCTCCAGGTGCAACGCCTGCTGCCGAAGCCGCTCCTCCTCCTGCTCAGCGGTCAGGCTCTCGGGCAGGGACAGCGCCGCCGCCGCTTCCTCGTCCAGAATCTCCCCGGGCAAGTCCCTCAGGTAGTGCTCGCTCAGCGCCACCACCCTGTCCGGGCATGGGAGCAGGTGCTCGAAACCCGCGCCGGGCTCCTGGCCAGCGAACGAACGACAACGCGGGGCAACAGGCGAAAAAAGCATTGCAGGGTGGTGGGGGCGATGGAGTTGCCACACACAAGCCCGTTGTTGCCCCCGGGAGGTGGCGGAGAATGAGTGGTGTTCTCCGGAGAAGTGTTTTTTTGATGAGGGGGGGGGGC